CACCCCCCCCCCCCCCCCCCCCCACCCTCCTATGGCGGCGCCCTAAAATAGTCACTTTTTTTGTTTTTTGTTTTTTATCTTCTTGTTTGTATTTAAGGCGTGCCTGGCGCTGTCGTCGCGTTACCGGTGGTGCTTGACCGGCACTCCTCTCATCAACAAGCCCGAGGACATCGGTGCTCTCTTCTCCTTCTTGCACCTCGCTCCCGCTTCGAACCCGAGAGTCTTCCTGCAGGTCTGTGTTGTCCTCGTCTGTCTCTTTGCACTTCCTTTATGATTGATTCCATCCTCCCCCTGTGCCAAGTAGTCTGCGTTAGGTACAGACTTTCTTGTTTCGTAGAAGTTCAACTTGTACTGTTAAAGCAAGTAGGGTCGTGTCGCGTGTTCAACACTCAAACCGATTTTCTGATGCACCCCATCATTTTCATCACTATCGTCATCCTAGGCTACCCTCCGGTAGGCTGTATGTGGTCTTGGAAGAATTGAAATCGCGGCCACCATCCGTTATGGCCATCCTTGTGAAACCTACCCTTGAGAGATAAATCACCCGCCGCCTGCTTTTTTTCTTGAAGCTATGTACCTGCACTTGAGAGATTTAATCACCCGCCACCTACCTCTGTGTTTACACGTTTTCACTTCCTCCTTGTACTTTGCTTCTAGCTATACACCTGCCCTTGCGAGGAAGATTAACCACCACCGCCTACGCTTGTGTTGTCCTCCTCATCCCCGCCCCCCGACCATCACATCAAAACCTGCAGGCTATCGGGCGGCCCATCCGATCGGGCAGCGACGCCGGCCTGGCTCGCCTGAGGGTTCTCATGAAGAGCGTCTGCCTGCGGAGGACGAAATCTGTGCTCAGCGGCAAGCTTCCCCCCAAGGTAAATGCTTACCATGGTACATACGATCGAGAAGGTGGAGGTGGAGGTGATGCGTCTTCTGTCTTCTCGCAAAGAGTGCGAGCCAGGTCGCTGTTTGTTTTTTGTGGAAGGTGTTCTGTGATTGCTCGGGTTAATTTCTGTTGGTGTCGGGGTATTTTGACACGGCCTTTTCAGGTACAGATACACAGAATATATAATTGTCTCCAATGATGTATCAGAGGAAAAGACACAAGAGCCGGACGATCAATAGTATGCCTTGCTCGCGACCAAACCATGCGTCGAAACGCCTTGTGCGATGCGATGTACCACGATGTACCCCAACGATGCACGGCTCGCTTCGTGCATGACACAACGATTGTTTCGTTCTCGCCTAAATAGGATGTTCGATGTGCGAGAAGTTTGACATTCCGGTTTTGCGTACGCGTCAAAGCACGCATGTTTCGGCAGGGGGAGGGACACGATTTGTACAGTAGACAGGAGTGAGGATTATTCACCTACGTGTTCATGTTCATACACGCTCTTCGGTGTGGTTTCCTCGTCACCTTCGTCTTGGCGAGCGACCCAATGACATGACGGTCCTCAGCGCGCGCCGCCGAACACCCCCTTGTCTCGCCCTCTTGAAAAAACGAAACAAAAAACGGCGGGGTGCAGGTGGTGGAGATCCACCGCGTCCAGATGGACGACGGCCACCGCGAGGCCTACAACACTCTGTTCAACAGCGCCAGGGCCGCCTTCAAAGCCGCTCTCGCCGATGGAGAAGCAGAGGTGTGTTTCGAGAGGGGGGTGAGCGGGGGGGCTCCGTGTGACACGCCATTCGTGCGAGGGTCTCCTCTGCTCTGAACTATCGTCGCCTGTCCCCTGTTTACCACTGCTTCGTCTCTTGCCCCATGAATCAATCCATTATAGTAGTTTGAACGTTGTTTTGTTGGTGTGTGTGTGTGTTTTTTTTTTTTTGCGACGCAATGTTACTAATCTAGTTACACGCTCTCGCTCTCTCGCCCGTTTGGCGCTCTGGCTGCCCCTAGGTGATGTCCCAGTACGCCAGCGTCCTCGAGTGCCTGCTCCGGCTGCGTCAGGTGTGCTGCGCGGAGAGCCTCGTCCCTTCGGGCAGGCTCGAGACGGCGAGGAAGGTGCTCAATCAGCTCGCCAAGGAAGGGCCCAAGCTCGGCAAGGAGGTGAGTTTTTTTGTTGTTGTTTTTGTCGTGCTACTTGTAGAAGCTCGGCAGGGAGGTGAGTTTGTTTTTTGTTTTTTGTTGTTTTCGTCGTGCTACTTGTAGAAGCTCGGCAAGGAGGTGAGTTTTTTTGTTGTTGCTTTGTTTTTGTCGTGCTACTTGTAGCTGGGCACAACACACTTACAATCGGTTCAAGAAGATGCGGAAGCTCTTGTTTTCCTGATTCTTTTCGTCTCGTGCTGGTTATGAGGTAAGTTGGGCACAGCAGTAGTAGTAGAAAATGTTTAGTGGAATCAGCCGTTTTGTTTCTGTTCGTTTTTTGGTCAGAAGGAGTAGAAGTGTGTGGAAAGGGCTAAGTTTTGCTTTTTCTGGTTGGACAACGCAGTAGGAAAAACTCGAACGTTCTGGGACTTTCTTTCATGTGTGCTGGCTTCCAAGAGACGTCGGGGCGAAGTTTTTTTTTTTTTTGCTGGTATTGTAAAAAGCTTTTCGTGGCTAGAGTAGAGCTCACAGGCACATCGAATAAGGAAGAGAGCTCCTCACCCTTATAGACTCACCTCCGTGGCGGTTTTGTGCCTCTCTTCCTGTTCCCCACCTGGTATGTATTCAGGAAGCGACGAAGCTGTTCGCCAAGCTCAAGGGCCTTCTCGAGCAGGATGAGGGGGCCGAGTGCGCCATTTGGTGAGAGATACAAGAGAGCCGGGGGGAGAAAGCGAGATATGAACATTTGTGGCACAACAGGTAGAGAGTGGTTCTAGGTTAAGTTTGGTGGAGCGGGTCACGACTAGAGATGCAGCGCGCATCGCTTCGAGCGAGGTAGTTCATCGGTGTCTGAGTATCGATTGATGTTTGTTTTGAGGGGGCGTCGACCGTACCACAAATGAAATGCGTTTGTGCGATGAAGCACGCTCATTTCGCCTCCCCCTTGACCTTCTTCGTTGCCTTTGGTTTGTTTGTTTGTCTTGCGACCTGTCGTGACGGGTAACCCTGTAGCACCGCGTCAAAGGATCACCGACAATTTTTGGGTGATATGTAGGCGTCCCACATGCACGTTGTCTTGAGCAACTTACGTTTTCTTGACTCACGATGGTTCGCCATTTGTGCAACGATGAATGGCACGCCGGCCTGTTGATTCGGTGTGCCGTCCTAGACAACAAACTTATTATTGTCGCTGCCCGCCTCGCCCCACCCCTCTCTCTCCCGACACACCGATGGCGTTTGTTCAAGCCTGGAGCTTGTTGGCCACGCCGATGCCCGCGTGCTGCGCCGGTGCGGCCATGGTTTCTGCAGCAAGGTTAGTCCGTCGTGTGGTATCACGTCGCCAAGCTGCAAAGAGGTATATAGCCATGCTGTCACTCCCTGGTGTTTCGTAACTGATCCGCCTGACGCGCACGATGATGGTCGAGGCGAAATGATATCCATACCACACCGTCGTGTCGAATGCTGTCATTCAAGGGTAACCCTCTCCCTCCACTCTCCCCCGTCTTTCTGGCTACGTAGATGGTAGGAGGGCAAGATGAGCAAGAAGTTTTTTTGTGTTCGCACAGGCAGCAGTGGCACGTAGATACGTAAGTCTTCCATTGTTAGGGTGATTTGTACTTTGGAGAATGGACCAACGATACACATGGTACCATCTCAGATAGGGTCATGGAGTGCCCGCCAGTAGCCAACTGTCTAACGGCTACCATACACAGTAAGGCAGTACAGTCGTCCCTCGGTTAAGGACACACATGATTTTTCGTCTTAAACAGGTGTCCTTAAACCGGGGAAGTGTCCTTAAGGCTGATACCCCTCCGTATGTAGTACAGTTCTGCGAGCCACCATGCCCGTTTAAAAAAAGTTGTCCTTAACCGGGGGAATGTCTTTAAGAATGGCGTCCTTAACCGAGGGATGACTGTACAGTGCCCCCTCCCACGCCGAATGTCTTAAACACGACACGACACGACAGTGTCTGGGAGCAATGGTGAAGGCAGGTCCGCCGGTGGCGGGCGGCAACAGGAACAAGTGCCCGCTGTGCCGCTTGGAGTTCTCCCAGGAAGATGTGGTCAGCGGCGCTGAGCTCGAGAAGGCCGGAGGAGCCAGCCAGGCCGCGGGTGGGGAAGAGGTGGCGGCAAGCGCCGTCGCGGCGGCGGCGGCGGCGGCGGCAGCGGTGCCGGGGGCGACGGTGGTGGAGGGCAAGGGGGGGGGGCGTGTGCCTCCGCCGAAGGTCGCCGCGCTGCTGCAGAGGTGAGCTCCGGCGGAACGGGGTACTCATAGCCGTGCATGCTGTTGTCGTTAGATCGTTGACTTCGTATTCCTACAAAGCCTACAAAGCCGGGGAGCACGCCGGGTTCTCACCGAACCAGGCTCTCACATCACCAACCACGAAGCGCCGTCAGGAGGTTTTCGGCGAGTCGAATGGAAGGTGTGGGGGTGGGGGGTGGGGGTGATTCTGCGGCGTGTTGCGCGATTAGTCGGGTCTGGCGCATGTGTGTGTCTCTTTTGTTGGCATCGACCGCGCTAGCCGGCTGACCAATGAAAGTACGTCAGTCTTGTAGCGGGATAACAAACCCAACAATTTCTACCGACAGGGAGAGGGGCGCGCGTGTGTGTGTGTGTGTGTGTAAATCTTTTGGTTGGCACCTTCCGCGCTATCCGAGGGACCAATGAAAAGATGCCAATCTTACGAGTATGGCGGGATAATAGCGCGAACACGTTTCTCCGTGTGCGTGCGTTGTTGCCTTACCACTTTTAGTGTCCGGAAGAGCGGGTCTTAGCACAGCAGTTTCGATGTTGTGTCGCTCTCTTGCTCAACCAGTCCGTTCGCGTTTTTTTTTCCGTCGTCTACATCACCTCTTGCTCATCTACGTGCGATACGTCGAGTATCTCCGCCCGCGATACATGTATCGGGGCCAAACCGATCCAATCGCTTTTGCGCCTGCCCCGTGTGTGTGCGTGCGTGTGTTTTTTTCTGCCGCTTCGTCCGGCACCGACCAAAAAAAGCCTCCACGAGCTGCGTCGCTCAGGCAACGGTGACAAGGCCGTCGTCTTCTCTCAGTTCACCTCTTTCCTCGACGTAATCCAGGTGTGCCTCGACGCCATGCTTCATATCCGGGGGGTGTACTTTGTGGTACTGCTGTACTGGCTCGATTTGTTCGGAGGACACAAGGGAGTGTGGTTGGTGACGCTAAGAAGATGTCTGTTTCAAGTGTTGGGAGGTAGAGCGAGCCGACGTTCGCCGTTGGTGTTTGTGAGATGTTGCTCGCTCGCGAGGACGACAGCGAGGTTTTAGCTGTGCAGAGAGACTCTTTGTAGGTTTTTCTGAAACCGTTCCCTTCCCTTGGGTACATCCTCGCCTACTGCTTGTACGACCACGGGAATTCATTTCTTCTGCGCTGGGAAGCAAGCCGCGTAGAGTGAGGGCACTAGAGGTTAGAGATGATGACGTTGTCCAATGTGAAGACAGCAGCGACAGCGCTCTCCCCCCATCACCATGGTGCCTACTACAATATGTCGCATCTGCTTTTTGCGGGGTCGGGCATCGATCGAGGCTGACGCTATTTCCGCAATACCATGTGCCCGCTCCTGCTGCCCCCATGGGTGCCGTCATCGAAGCCCTTCCTTTTGGCTGACGGCTTCCGGCTCGCTCGCCTTGACGGAAGCATGACCAACAAGCAGCGCCAGGCGGAGCTGAAGCGCTTCGCGGGCAAGGGTGGCGACGGTGCAGAGGTGAGCGTCTGGGGGGGGGGGGGGGGGGGCATGGGTGCGGTAATTCGATGGCGATTGAGTCGTTTTCAACGTCGGCGAGAGCTTGTGTTCTCTTTTTTCATCACAGCCACAAGGAGGGGTGGGGTTACGCACATTCATAACGCCCGCACTAGGGTGTGACCCCGGCAAGCCACACGCCTTGCCCCCTTCATCCCAGTGTCCCGTCATCTACCGGGTACGAAATCAAGCAGGCTGGCTGTTCACGGCTGGTCTAAACAAGCTGCCCGCGACACGGGTTTGATGGTGATGCAGCTAACCCCTCCTCCCTCCCCCCTCCTCATGGGAAACCCGTTTCCAACTTTTGACAACTCCAAGGTCATGCTGGCCAGCCTGATGGCGGCGGGCACCGGAATCAACCTCACCTCAGCCAACCACTGCTTCATCGCAGATCGTGAGTGTGTCCCGAGCCTGATACGGCAGCAGAGCGTTATTTTTCCCGTCCTGTTAATTTTCAGCCGTTGTGTGTGTGGTGTTCGTTCTGTTTTTTTTCTGGCGCCAGTCTACGCATCTCTCGGTGTACGTGTTTGACGCATGTATGCATCAACCGGGGTCACCCACCTCACCTCACAAGCGATACGTAAAACTACCTTACTGTACTTACTGTACAACACGTGGACGTAGAGAGAATTCACGGGCGGCGCACTGAGGCACGGGCTTGCCGCGTGGAGATCGTATAGTACATTCGCAAAAGAGATTTTCGAAAGTAGGATGGACGGATTAAAGGCCTTTGTCGATTCTGGGGACAAGCTGCAGTCCGTTCGGCCGCTAGCTCCCAACTCCCGTCGTGCAACGTGCTGAAATTTAGCGGTTTCTTGGTCGAGGGGGAGTATATGCCAGACCCTGTTGCTGCTGCGGCAAGCACTCTACTTTTTTTTTTTACAATTATGCCTGCCAAGGCTGACGAGTGAGAGCCCGCTTCTTTTTCCGGTTTTCAGCGTGGTGGAACGCGAGCGTGGAGAGCCAGGCCATGGACCGCGTGCACCGTATCGGCCAGACGAAGCCCGTCCGTGTGGTGAGGATGGTATCGGCAGACTCGGTGGAAGACCGCATCCTGGAGATTCAGGAGGCCAAGGAAGCCCTCGGGAAGGGGGCTCTGCGGAAGGTGAGGAGAATTGCCCCCCATGGGACCCTGCCTGGGCGGGAAAGCGGGGGGAGGGGGAGGGGGGGGGTGTACTCTTATGTATAGCAGGCCTTTGACCCGCGTCCTCAAGAGGACGGAGCATGGTTGCCACAGGACCGATCACCGATGGTCAATCGTTCCTTCCTACTGTACTAAAGCGGGGGTCTTTGCTGGTTTGGGTTTTTGTGGAAACGGGTGGCGTTCTTGGAAACGCGCGTTCGGAGTGGGATGGGGGAGGGTGGTCTTGTATCGGGGAGCACGCCGACGATGTGGTGTCAGGGCGGGATCAATAAGAGTTGACCCCGCCGTGCTCTTGATTGTTTCCCCCCCGCAATTTCTTCGGGCATGTTTCTGTCCGTGTTTTGGGCCTTCTGCCGTGTGCACCAAAGGGGATAGGATAGTCACCGGTCGCCGCCCTCGAACTCCTCCGCTTAATATCTCTCTCTGACCACCCCCCACCCCGCGGTCCTCAACGCTGCTGTCTGTCTGTCTGTCTTGTCTGTCTGTCTGTTCCTTCCTTCTTTGCCGTCGGACCGCTCTCAATCACGCGGACAACCCGGCCTTACCCAAATCAAACCCACCCAATGGACCGGGTGATGACCGCGAATCCACACTACTACCGTCACGATGTTCCCTCCACCACTGCGGCGTGATGACGGCCGGTATGAAATTCAACGCCCTCTTGGACGTCCAGCTCAAGCCGGACGAGGTCCGCAAGGCGAGGATGACCGATCTACGCACCATTTTCGAGTGCAAGACGGAGCACGCGATTGAAGCCTAGGCTAGGCTAAGCTGAGGCTGGACCGGGCGCAGTCAATCCTTGCTGCCTCCGCCGGAATTACGACAAGCACGAAGTTTTCTCACGGTTGGGGTTGACGGTGGGGAGGGGGGGGGGGCAGAGAGCGGGTGTTATTCGCGAATCACCACCGACGCGTTTGTTTACGATCAATTTTGGTGAGTTCGGTCTGAGTGTCCTGACTGGTCCATCTCATGAGCGGCCGAAAGGGGGGTATATCCACTAGTGAAGAATCCGCCTTACGTGCCCCCCCTCCTGCTGTTGCATACGGGAACTTCATGTCTCTTCTTTTTTCTCCATCTCTTCTGTGTCTTCGTTTTTTTCTGTTTGCCCCATTTTACCGTTGCGGAAGCTTCTACCGACACCCCATGTACCTTTCAATGACCCTGTAGGATACATGTCACTCACAGTTGTAGTTCCATGTACCTTTCAATGACCCTGTAGGGTATACATGTCACTCACAGTTGTAGTTCCATGTACCTTTCAATGACCCTGTAGGATACATGTCACTCACAGTTGTAGTTCCATGTACCTTTCAATGACCCTGTAGGATACGTGTCACTCACAGTTGTAGTTCCATGTACCTTTCATTGACCCTGTAGGATATACATGTCACTCACAGTTGTAGTTCCATGTACTTCCTGGAGTATTCCTTTGATGGCCGAGGAAATATTCCAGCTCAAATACTCGCCATGCACCAATGGTTCTCGTTGTTGTTCCTGATACTATTTCTTCGGGCCCAAATTCTGGCAAGAGGCCGGTCTCAATCGCCATGGTGATGTTGGTTGACAGTCTCGTTTCCCGATTTGATGCTTGATTTCCTGGTAAATCTACGGTCTTGTCAGACCAAATGTATTTTTGGCACATTGGCGGGACAGGTGTACATGTTTTCTTCTGGCGATCAAGGCGGGACTCCTCAGCAAACACGCCTCCCCCGTAGGACAAAGTTGTTCGATCGTTTTCGTATACTTAAGTACAGTGGCTGCCGGTAGGTCAGATAGGCGAGGGGGGGTCGTGTACTTTATGGTCGTGCGGGTGACACTTTTTCAGTTTTTCGGCCGTCGACTTTCACGTTGCATGTCTTGATGTTTTGAGAGTAAAAAGGGAAGCGGCGGTGGGATGATGTTGATTTGTAATTTCGACCAAACAGGAAGATGAAGATGGTGGAAAGCTCTTCGTGGTAACAACAGAGTGTACGGTGGTAGTGTATGGCGGGTCGTCGAAAACGTGAAAGCCCGAACCTAGGCGATACCCACGGCCGTACCTTTTATATACTTTTTTCACTTGGCGGACTGGGGGTACAATAGTTTAGGTACTGCTGTTCTCCCCGCCGCTGCAGGTGTAGGTTGGTGTGGATCCACGTGTCCCGTATCGATGCACGGTTTATTTGCGGTTCAACACCGAAGGTTGTATTCATATCATTATGGCTATTAAAACGGCTGAGTACGGCACGTGGCTTTCCCTTTGCGCTCGCATGCGTGCCCGCAACCACTGCACTATTGCAGCACGCAGGTACAAGAAGAGACAAGGACCTACGGCCAACTCCGTACAATACTCCTCTCAAAAACACGCGCAAGGCGTTTTCGCACCGTCGTGTGCTCGCGACTAGACACCTTGCACCACATCCATCCCGAATGTTAGTCCTACGCAGACAAGACCGATTTTGATGATATTTCATCGCACCATCTCATTAAATAGTATTAGTAATGGCAATCTACAAAGAACGGTCAACGAATATCGCTATGCTGTGGGCCTGTCAGATGCCTTTCGCCGGGACGGGGGAGGGGGGTGTCTAGCACCCGGTCCAGGTTTTGATACCGTATTGGTATTTTCTTGGGAACAATATCCCAAATTTTCTCGACGTCGGTTTTCACTCCTTTTGGTACCATCTGAACGCACCAGAGCCGGGGTCACAGGCAGGATTGTTTTTCGTCCGCCTTCCCTCTGCGGTGCTTGCCTATTGATTGATTTCTATGGCGACAAGGATTCCGCCTGTATTGTACAGAGAGAAAAACAACGAGATCGCGACTCGATGACTCAATCCCGCTGCTGCTGTCATCGGGCGAATCGGACTGACACGATGGACCCGTCCATCGTAATCGACGCGCTATCGAAGACAGGGGGATTGGGGCATCCACAGACTGACATGACACGGATATACATTGCTGGTACTACTGTGCCCATATTCTGGGTCATGTAGCTCGGCTTGGAACAGGAACGTTCATCTTCGTACTCCGTATGCATAGATATGTATCTTCTCCCGTTCGAGATACAGTCGTCCCTCGGTCAAGGACACACATGATTATTCATTTAACCAGGTGTCCCTTGTAAGCCGGGGAAGAGTCCTTAAGGTTGATACCCTTCCTTACGTTGTACATTCGATGACCCACCATACTTGTGGGGAAAAAGTTGTCCTTTGCCGGGGGAGTGTCGCTAAAAATTGTGTTCTTAGCCGGGGGAGGGAGGGATGACCGTACTTCACTCTGGACGATCATGGTGGCAGCCCCCCGAAAAGTCGTCAAGCATTTCGACAACACCCGCCGCCCAAAACCAAGGCACCAATCTTCAAGCGCGCGGACGCGCGTTGCGCGGAAAAAGGGGGCAAGGGGAAACACAACCAAGAGATCCCTGTAAGTGCAGTCGACCAATGAAGGAAGATATCAGCGTGCCGCCACACCGGGTGCCGTTTTCATCTCGGCATACAGATCCCTCCCCTTCGGCAAAAACATCAACAACCCCATATGCCGCCGCAACTTCTTGGTTCTTGGGACTTAGCGCCCAACCCACCCTGACGTACATGACTCCTCGGCCGGTTTGATCGCGTCTCTAAAGCGCTTCGGGGTGAAAAAATCGCAAAAACTTTTCGGTGGTCGAGAAGATTTGAGGCCACCCGAACGGACAACGAAGAACACGCAGGCCAGAGAAATATTCCACCAAGCACACACAGCACAACGCATGCTAAAATACCGGAGACCATATCCTCCCAATCTCCCACTCTACTGGCAGTTTTTCTAAACTGCCCATGGGACACCCATGGGCCGCCCATGGACGACCCATGAAGTGCCCATGGGCTGCACATGGGCGGCCGATGAAGTGCCCACCGTGGGCACTTCAACCTAGAACTTCGCCACCTTCACGTCAACCTAGAACTTAGGTATTTACCAGCGCCAACCTAGCGCGTATCGTGCGGGAGAGGCTTGGGGTAGTGGTTAGGGTTAGCGTTACGGTTGTTAGCCGCTAGAGGGCCCGTTCCAAAGCAGATAATCTATTGTTTTGGAGTACACTGGTTCGGTTGAAGGGCTCTCATTGGCCGCCCATGGGCTTCCCATGGGCCTAACGGGGTGCGCCCATGGGTCGCCCATGGGTCACCCATGGGAGTCCCATGGGTCGTTTGGGAAAACTGTACAAAGTGTGGGAGACCTCTCCTGGGGAAAGCTAAGCTTCTCTTTGACACCGCTATCACTCGAGACTTCACCAATTTCGCTTCTGCAAGCAGGGCACGGATGCTCGTAACACAGTACACATCGCACGACACACCTCGTGACCTGACATACATGAGACCAAGATCCTGGTCCTCATGACCCACAAAACTCTTGGTCAGAAAAATCTCGCCCGTGCCTAGGACTGAACACACTCCGGCGGAGTATCCTCATCAACCCGCCCGACCCGCGCCAGCACCTCTGCTTCCTTGTCCAACGACGCTTTCTTCTTGTCCAACAATACTGCCTCCTCCTGCAGCCTCGCATTGCCCAGGCCGCGAAGTGGCCCCCGTCCGCCGGGCGCAGCGCAGGCGGCCCCGCTACCGTCGTAGCCTCCCTTGGTGGAACTCCCACATTCAACGCCCTTGAGGCTCAGCTCTACGCCCTTGTCCTTGGCTCCTCCCCGGCCAGACCGGCTCCGGAGGTGGCGCGCCGATGACGAAGACGATGAAGGCCGGCGAACCGCTGCTTGGTTCTCCTTCTGGGTAGAGGGGTCGTCGTCGATGCTGCTGCTGCTGTCGGTTGCCGGTGGTGTCATCCGCGCGGAAGTCGCGATAGAGTCTTGGAGCTTCTTCTCCTGCCTCTTGTTCACCAGCTGCGAGACAAAGTATTCAACGGTTGTATTGGTATAAGATGGGAGCGAAGGGTGGAGGTGACAAGACACAACTATTGTACCATGTCTGAGTTTTGAGATGCAAGAAATCAACAATTATTGCGCTCTAACAGCAAGACGTTTTCGTGCGGTACACCAGTCTGCAGTCGCCTTTCGACTTTGTTTTCGCCGGTCTTCGCCCACTTGAGCGTGTCAGGCTCTCGATCACAACGTCCCTGTCGCGAGCTCGAGACTCCAAAGGTGAGTCCAGTCATAGAACTGCTGTGAACAGTACGCAAAAGTTATTGCAGTCGTTAAGCTAGACGTAGTGGTGCGGTGGTTCGGTTTCAGATGGCGTTCCTTCTATTGCAATGTCTATACAAGCTATCTGTGCATTGTCCTGGAACTTAACGTAGTCGTGGTGTGAAGACTATAACAATACAAGATGAATGCGTATGTATGTTTGAAAACTGCACCACAGTACGTTCGAATTCCGTCATGTTACAACCATTCTTTCTGTGGGGACCTATCTATCACTGAGTGGCACCCACCAGCTCATAGTTAAACTCTCTTGTTTCTAAGGAGACCGGAATGACTGGTGGCAATTATCGGGCTGGGGCAAGGCCACTGACGTGGTGTCTCCCAGCTCTATGGCGCGCGGCTTGGGGTCAGCTCGACTCTCGGACGATGTAGATTTTCGTTTCGCGGGAGAGGTTTTCGAGTGAGAGTTCACGTGGCGGGCTGTTTGAGAGATGGTGTGATGGAATTGTATTTCTCCCTTGGAAATAATCCTGAGGATGCGTTGTCCGCCTCCTGCAGTTGATCGACCCGAACGCAGAGCCTGATGCGGCTGGGAGATATGGCTACGAAGAACACAGGTCCTCGGGAGAAGGAAGATTTCTAGTTTTGTGTGTCGTCAATTTGACAACAGAATGCCTAACCTAACCCTGGCGGGAGGGTTGTTTTCTTTCTTTGTATAGGATTAAAGCATGGGAAAAGAGCCAGTGTCAAAACCCCCGTACTTCCCCCCCTTAAGCGAACGGTCGCCAGTAGAACAAAAGGGACTCCGGGCTACCGCATTGCACCCGAGATTGAGCGTAACGGAAGTAAGGACAACACTTTTCCCAAAGGAATGATGAAGCACAAGGACAAGTGAAACGCCATGAAACAAGTGGGCCCTACAAGTGGAAAACTCCGCTCCCTCCCATCCCCCATGAAACCGCTGGACCTACGCACCTGCAGCGAGACGAACTGGGCGCGGGCCTCCTCGATCTCCCCGTTCAGCTCGGCGCACCGCTGCTGCTCCCCGTTGAGCTTGGCGGAGGTGGCGTGGTACTTGAGCAGCAGGTCCTGCTTCTCCTCCTTAAGCGCGGTCATCTCGGCCTCGTGCTCCGCCCTCATCGCCGCCACGCCGCTGCTTCCCCACTTTCCACCGCTGCGCGTGCTCATCCCACCACCACCACCACTGCCACCACCACCACTGCCACCACCACCACCACCACCACTGCTATTCTCCTGCAAGGCAAGAATAGGGGGGGGGGGGGGGGTCAGGGATGGGATACTTACGAGCGGAGCAACAACAACGACACTTTCAGTGCCGACACTTTCAGTGCCGATCAGGTCCAGCTTGCGGGCCGGCGAACCACACGGATCGATCGGTGCCCATCATGTCGGGCGGGCGAACCATACGGATCGATCGCCATTACCATGGTGGGTGACATGATGTAAGATATCACACTCTCCTGGACTGATTTTCAAAGCTTATTTTCTCCGCGGCAAAAAGAGTGGCGGCATCGAAAACGGGGGCGTTAGAGCCGTCTCGTCGCGGTCTTCCCGGAAGCGCGTCGTTTCACTCAAACCATCCTCTTAGTCTTCGTCGTTCTGTAATCAAGCTTTTGAAAATAGGTCCAAGGAGTGCGGTATATTTTTGTCCACCTAAGGTGTTTTATTGATTGTTTGCTTTTTTTGTCATGACTTAAAATCAGCGTTTACAGCTTTCGCGCCGCATGCTCCAACCCATGGTCACACACGGTAGAGTAGTCTGCTGTGACGAAAACAGAACGTCTTTGGAAACAAAAATCTCCCACCTTCACGTGTGCCACCGTAGCGTGCATGCCGCCTTTCCTGGCAACGACCAAAGCCCCCCACCAAGAAAAAAAGAGAGATAGAGAAAGGATGCCCTCAAAAATCATCATATTCCACTTGGTTTTAGAGTACCTCCTCCACCCCGTCCAGGCCCTCTGGGGTTACCCTAGGTGTGCAGGAAAATGATTCTACGGGCACCCTCGGAATAGAAAGAGTCAGATAAAAACCCACGCAGGTCGTGGGATCTAATTTAGGCACCTGCGCCCTCTGCCTCAGCTCGCGGTTCTCCTCGATAAGCTCCCTCGTCTGCTCGACCAGCTGCAAGTGATCGGCGTCTCTGGAGGGGTCCGCCCTACCCCCCGCGGCCGCGGACATCCTTAGCTCCTCCGCCTGTCCCCAGTAGAACGTCTTCTCTCGCTCGAGCTTGCGCTTGTCCTGTGGAAGGTCGATCGGTCAACAAGATCCGGCCCGACAGGTCCGTGTGGTTCGCTGAATTAATCCGCCTTCGTGCGTGCGGATGAGCGAACGAACCCTACAGTACAAAGAATCTGGCACCGCACCACCGCGAATAACATTGTCTCTCTCTCACGTTCCATCGAAACATGCTCACACATGGATGGTATGTATTCTATGTAATCTGAATCAGTACTTGTATGCGTTACCCCAAATAATCGAAGGCACGGGGTATTGCACGAAACACCACTACCCACCTTGCGGGAACCTAGACAATACAATGTGCACTTTGTTCATGCCGATGGTTTTTTTTTTCACCTTCTCTAAGGCGCCCAGTTGACCCTGGAGGTCTCCAATCATCTTCTTCTTGGTGGCGATGCTCATCTCCCATTGGTCTACGTCTTGGTTGTACGAAACGTCGTCCACCGTGTGGGTCTCGCGGTACCTGGCGAACTGACAGGAGAAAAAAGCGGCGACATCCGGGAAGTAGATGACGGTCAGTCAACCTCAAAGCACATCGCGTAAGCGCCTTCAAAAGTGCGACCCCCCCCCCCGCCATCGGGGTTGGGTTTTCGTCGCTTGGCAACGAGGTTGTAAAACAATCCGCCCCCCCCGGTGTTTGCCATCGGGATTGGGGTTTCGTCGCTTGGCAGCGATGTTGTAAAACAAGCCGATCACTTCGTGAGCTCGGCAACCAGGTTTTTTTCTTTTGCCTTTTTTTGTTTTTTTTGCGGTCACCATGAATGATGGCCGAGTACATGGTGTTGTGCGGGGTCGAGAACCCTCACTCCGCGCAAAGGGGGATGATCGCACCACGTTGTGTTAAAATGGTAAAGCACCCTCGAGACAGTTACACAGTGCTTACAACTGTCTCTGGAAGTGAAAGCACCAGAAAATAAATTAAGTCATACGCAGCTGTCATCCGTACGCAAGGAAGTAAGCATAAGATGCCGAACACCCTTAGCAGGATGTAGCGCACCCTTCGTGCGACTCGCAAAATACCTCACGGCGCTTCGCGCTTGGTGATGTGAGAGCCTGGCCCGGTGAGAACACGGCGTGCTCCGTCCCGGCTTTGTAGGGATGCGAGGTCAATGGTCTAACGACTATGACATGCACGACTATGAGTGTGAGTACACCCCCCCCGCCTCCCTGCAGACAGAGTTAATGAAATCGTTTGCTATTTAAGCACAAGGAGTATAAGGTCCCACGGCGTACATACACGTACCTCGCCGGACACAGCAGCCACCTTCGCTTCGTGATCCGCCATCTGCTCCTGCAGCAGCAACGCCGACTCCTCCCTCTGCTCGCGAGCGTTGGTCTCGAGGCGGCCGATGGCCTTCAGAGCCTCCTGCTTACCCGTTGAAAACTTCTCCTCCAGCTCTCGCACCTGTTGCTCGGCCTCCTCCTAGATTTACCATGTAGGCAGGCGTTTACGCGCAACGGGGATAAGGGGGTGGGTCAGTGCGTCCTTGATAGGAAGGAGCCCACCAAATCTCACAGGGCAACAAAGCGCGGGTGGTGAACGTCTGGCTGCCGGCCCTAGAGAAAGCTGACGCAAGTAGCATTCAGCGTTATGTCGGCTCCTCTTGAACATCCCCAACGCCCGTCATCACCCCCCCCGTAGCAGTCGACCAAAAATAAACACCTTCGCGACAAGACCCCCCCTCCCAAAAAATCATCAAAGAGGAAACCCCCTCACAAACCGCGGACCCCCCCCCCCGCGCCAGCACCTTCATCCGCGCCTCCTCCGATCGCCCCTTCTCCTCCTCCGCCGTCCTCTCCCTTGCCACCGCCAATTCCTCCGCGGACGACCTCCTCTCCTCCTGCAGCTTACCCTCCAGCTCCTTCTCGACCTCCGCTACCCGGTTCTCGAAAGCCAGCCTCGCGTCCGCGAGCTCCCTGGCGGCCTCCTCTTCCTTCCTCGCCGACTCCCTCTTCTCCTTCTCGTGGGCCTCCCGGGCTGCCGCAAGCTCGGCTGCCGCTCGCTCCGCCTCCCTCGCCGCTGCTTCCCGGAGCTCCGCCCTCTCCCCGCTCCTCTCCTCTTCCACTCGCGCCGCCGCCGCCGCCGCCGCTCCCGCCGCCGCCGCCATCTCTCCCCGTAGCCCCTCCTCCCGCCGGTCAGACTCCCCCTCCAGGCGGGTGACCGTCGCCCGGTGCTCCTCCCGCAGGGCGACGATCTGGGACTCGAGGTCGGCGATGCGAGCCCGAGCTTGGGCGAGGGAAAGCTCAGCGGCGGCGCGGACCTCCCGCTCCGAGGCCAGGCTGTCGTGGAACTTGTCCGCTAGACGGCTGGCGTCTCCGGCTTTCCGCTCGAGGTCCAGGATGGTCTCCTCGGTGGTGTGGTCCACCTGAGGGCGCGTCCGCCCCGCGCGCGGGCGGTGTGGGTCACATAAGTGGGTGCGTAGGGGAGTTGTACGTGTAGAGGATTTGTTTTGTCTTGCAAGCGGTGGTTGTT